TCGTTCAAAATAACAAAAAATTATGTTTTAAAGTTATTTTTAAGAATAAAAAAAAGTTCGAAAGTGATTTTGTCACATACCAATTTTGTTTCTTTCAACTTTTTCAATTCATTTTAATGGATATGTGACTTCAATGTATAAAAAAAATGCACAAGATAAAATTATATCTAAAGTTTTTGTCCATGCAGCAATGACATGCATATAGTTACGATTCCTCACACACTTTTTTTTATAGTTATGATTCCTCACATTAAATGTTTTAACTTATATATATATAAAAAATCTCACTGCTGTACATAAAGCGGTTGCAGAAAAATCAAACTTTATATATATATATATGGACAAGATTAGTTGACATTGGTGTCAAACAAAAAGTTTGACGCCTCGTCTGAGAGTTGTTGATATTGTCTTAATCTAATGACTCTAATTTGTAAGTATGTGACACCGTTGATCTGTCTTGATCTAACGATTCTCAAATAAAGTATCAAACATTTGATTTGACACTGATGTCAAAGGATTTTAACGATATTTTTATGACTTTTAAAATTTAGTATGTTGTTCAGGTCCAGTGGCGGACCCAGAAAATTTTATTTATGTCTGCACACTTAGTGGCTGGGGTTTGGGGGCAGCGCCACTGGTAAAAAAAATGTAAAGAAATTTTTAAATGCATTAAAAAATAAAAGAATATAAACAAGAAGAGAAAAGAAAACTATTCACATGTATCAAAGTTTGCTATTCCACGCATATCTCATTTTTTGTAAGTGCTATTTCAAGTTAGAGTAAAGTATCTTTTGGGTTCTCAACAAATATCGTGGAACCTAATTTAATCTCTTAGAAAAAATCAACTTGTGGTCCATCTGAAATTCAAAATAGACTTATGTTATTCTTTTTGAGGGACCACGATTTTGACTAATTATGTCTATTTTGAATTTCAAAGGACTATAAATCGATTTTTTTTCTTTCTAAGAGATTAAAATAGATTCCTTGATTTTTGTTGAGAATCCAAAAAGTACTTTGCTCGTCAAGCTATTTCAAATGATTTTTTTTTTGTGTCTCCACACACATAGACAACCATGTAGGTTCGCCAGTGGTTAGGTCACATGTTTCTGTCAGTATTTACACTTTATAGTAGGCTAAAATAAGCTTTTACTACCAAATTATGGTAGCTCAGTTGGTGCTAAAAAATTGAGCAGGTGAAAGTGAGTTTATGTATTTGATTCTTTCTAGTATCATCTTTAGGAGAAATTTAAAGCCTTAATTTTGAAATCTACTCCCAATTAGACTAGCCACGAAATAATAAATCAATTAAAATATTTAAAAAAAAAGCTTCCACTTATAAAACAATGCCAGTTACAAATAATCAACGACTTAACTCCCATAAAGTGAGCGTGTGATTATTGCATAATCTTATCAGAGGAAAAGTGACACATTTCCTTGATCACAAATGTGAATACATGGAAAAAAAGAAGTGATTACAGTAATGGCACTAGTTGCCATATATAGGCACTGTACATAAAGGGAATAGAAAAGAAGGAAAGTTTTTAGCTGATACAAAACAGATTAGAATTAACTAGAGTCAGCTAGGTTCAGTTGTAACAGTGTTTGTGAATTCATCACGTGATGTAGCAGGCAGCTGCTGATATATTGTGTGATACATAAAGTAAAAATTATAATAATGAAAGCTAGGTGAAAAAGTCATGTGCATATAACATTTGAAAAAAAATAAAAATACATATGGATAATAAATAGTTGATTTATGTGCGAGGAGGAACATGATGGCGGCAGGAGGCCGTTGGGGGTCTGCCTATTTTGTTTATCGCGGACTTTATTTAGGCTTCACAACATCAAAATTGTTAAAATGCATTACATCAAAATTATTCTGAGTAATCCACTAATGCTCGGTCATCACCATTATCATTAGATAAATTCAATAATAATAATTATATGAAAAATTTTATAAGTAAATGAGATAGCAAAAATGAAAATACATATGAATAATAAATAGCTCATTTATTTGTCGGAAAGGTATGACTAGGAGGGCATTTTGAGACATCTCCGTTATCTATCCGCCGTTATGCTTAATTTCACGTCTTTTCATCTCATTTATTGCATTTTACCGTTTCAACCAATCCAATTTTCCTCCATTGCTGCAACATGTGCTTCACAATAAATGATTCTGTGATTGGTTGCTTTGACCAACCGGGCTGCAATTTGCAAATTTTTTTTATAGCAATCATACTTATCTGTTTGGGACGACTTAGCTCTTCCGGATATTTTGACAAATTTAAATATTTTGAACTGATTATGAGATTAATACTAAATGTAGAAGTAAATCTAAAATTAAGACCTTATGCCCTACCTTTGAAAAAAGCATAAGATCTAGAAACTTCAGAAAAATATTTTGAACTTACACTCCTTTTTATTATAGTCATGTGAGTCTCTTTTAAATACTACACAAATAATAAAAATTTACTCGTATGTTGCACATTTCGTCATCGATGAGTAAGAGTATGTTTTGGTACTTTTTTTAACTTGATAGTTATAAATTAAAGATATAAAAAAATTTAAAAAATAAAGTTAAAAGTTGTTTAGTGATTATATAAAATTGTTTTTGATAGTTTTGAAAGATGGAAGATAAAATAATTTATTATCATGATGAATTATTAGGATAAAGGATAAAATTTATAAATTAAATTTAGAATATGAGTAAAATTATAAAATAAATATGAGGAGTAAAAGTTATTTTTTTTATAGAAAAAAAGAAGCTAAAAAATTTATTTATTTTCCTTCAATTTATATTCTGAGGTACTCATTTATTCTATAAAAAAGAAAAATAAACTAATTTTATCAAAAATAATTTTTATCGATTCATGTTTCCATATTAGCATAATTTATTTAAGCGAATATACATATATATATATATATATATATATATATATATATATATGTCAATATTAATAATTTTTATATTTTTGGATTGGAAAAAGTGTGTATCATTTTAAAGGATATAAAGTTGTGTCATATTAAGTGAGAGAAATAGATAAATCATGGGAGAGAGTAGAGGGAATTTTTTTTAAAAATATGAGTCCCACCTCTTTGTGAGAGTGAAATAATGTAAGGTGTGTCATTTAAAATGACACACATTTTTCTCTTTTGGTTATATCCTTTGTTTAAATAGGCGTATATAATACAACTCATATGATTTCATTTCATTAGATGGTCATTATACATTTTCCATCATTTTGTATAGAAACTTTTTAATTAATTAACTCTAATGGCTTTAAAAAAAACAATTAAGAATTTCTCGGTGCTCGTAGAGTATAACGTCAGAATTACAAAGATAAAATCATAAAATGACCAAATTCAGGGAACCTAGTTCTCCAGAGTGCAGACTCTAATCAACAAGTGAATAATTTATAGGGTGGCTTTTTTCTGATGTTACACAAATCTTTGTAATTACATAGTCTCAAAAGTATATAGTTATAATATTATAATTATTTTTTTTAACTATGTATTCCTGAAAGTACATAGTTAAAAAATTGTTGTTGGCTTTCTTTTAATTATGTACTCTCAGGAATATATAGTTAAAAAATGATTGCATAAATTTCTGTAATATGAGAAACACATTTCCTTAATTTATATGGGAAAAATATTTATTCTTTTAAAAGATATAACTTTGTGTCATTTTAAATCCCAACTATTGATTTCCGTCAATCAACGGTTAGGATTTATTTGGTCAAACTTATTAATTAATTAGTAATTCACAATAAATTCAATAAATCCTAACCGTTGATTGACTAAAATCAACGGTTAAAATCTAAAATGACACAAATTATATCCTTTAAAAGCACAAACATTTTCCCCAATTTATATTACACAAATGTATTATATTTTTATTTTTTTTATGAATTTTGCATTCTTAAAACTGATTTTTGGTCAAAATAGTTTTTTTTAATGAACTAATAATATACAACCAAGGCCCAAACAAAGCTCAGTTTTATTGAGAGCCCATTATTCATATTATGGTTCATTAATCTTGCAGCCTACATTTAGGCCCTAAATTCGATCTCCGTGGGCTTGGCGTCAACGTTGGCCGCCGGCGGCGGTGTCACCGATGGCTACCTGAGCTTCTGCTGCCTGGGACAGAGGTGCGTGTGCTTTTGGTAGAATATGATTGTGAATTTGTTAGCATAACGTTTTCGAAAGTAAGAATGTTACAATTGAATAATTGGTTCTTTTGTATGAATAATGAGCGAATTGGTAGAAATGTATTTTGCAAGTTTTTTCTTGGTCATTTGATTCGTTGGGTATGACTTATAATTTGCATATTAATGAAAATCTTTGTTGGCGGGTTAGCATAAAGCCAAATGGGGATCCCTAATTCGCATACTAACGAAGACCCTTGTTGACGGGTCAGCAGAAAGCCAGCTGGAGTCCCGTAAAAGCCTGATACTGTTGTGGGCCTCTAACTTATTGTAATTATCTTTTACTTAGTAATTTGAGCTTGGGCCCATGAATAACTGTTATTAGGATCTTCTAAATACTATTTATATTCTTTTATAAATCTAGTAACTTGGAATAAGTGGGCGATTAGGTGAACATAGTACAGACAAGCTTGATCCCATGAATATAGTAGAAACAAACTAGATGTAGCCTACATTAGATGAATTAGGGTAAACCACTATTTCGATTTTTCTCTCCCTTTCTCTTTTATGTTTCGATCTGTGTGTTTGTGTGTCGATTTCCAACATGTTCAGCCTCTTTGGTGGAAGAACACAACTATTTGTTACTTGGTCTCGTCACTTCATATATAGGTATAGACATAAAAAAGATGTCGACCCAGTACTTTAAAGGTACATTATTTTAGCAAGTGTAGGGTTTCATCTTGAAAGAAACTAATATGATTGTGGATTTGTGATTGGAGTTATTTCAACTTTAACAACATAGAGCAAGTTCAGGAAATGGTTCTGAAGGAAGTTGAATTGCACTAGCATAAGTGAACCTTAAGTTTGAAATATTCTTTTCTAGCCAAATCAATCAACTTTGAACACGCAGGCCAGAAGAGTGAATGAGTATTCTAGTTTATTTATATTAAAGACAAAAGCACTGATAAGATATTCTAAATTATTAAGTGTAGCTGATAAGGCTCTGCATTAGTGTTATAAGCCTTTTATCTGCCTCAAGTGATTTGTACCAGTTTTTCTTGCCCTCTCATTCCTGGTAAAGAGGTTTCCTTATGCTTTGCAATGAATTGCTTGTACCAACTTGCTGATAATCTTGAAGTTCTCTTCAGCGTGGCATAATCCACATGGTGGAACCCATATCTTATTGTATATCCATATATCCACTCAAAGTTGTCTAGCAATGACCAGGCAAAGTATCCCCTCACATCTGCTCCTTTCCTGAAAGAGAAAGGGTTGGAGAAAAATGGAATAGAATATTTTTTCTTTTTTATTCTCAGATGCTTGACTAGTGTCAAAGCAAACAGACATGATGAACATGTTTCGGCATTTGGTTAGATAAAATTATAGTAAGATGATAGAGTGACAAAATAAATAACAATATAGTGAAAATTGGAATCCTTACCATTGGTTTTATATTGCTAGAATATATGTTTTTTTCCCCTTTATTTTCTTACCTTATTGCTGCTAACAGGGCCTCTATGTGATCCCCCATATACTTTATCCTCTTAAAATCATGAAGATGTTCTTCCAAAGTGAAATTCGGATTGTCTTGTTCGCCATACCCTATAAAATGTTTGTATTTTCAGCAATGCACAGAAAGTCTGCCCAAAAAGGATAATAGGTGTTGCTTACCATTTTCAGTAATAAACATTGGAGTATTGTTGTATCTATCTTTTACATATGTAACTGTTTTCTCCATGCCTTCTGGGTAAATGTTAAGCCAACTAAACGAAGTCTGCATGACATTAGAAGCTTCAGAATTGGTGAATCATGAGGGAAAAGGTGATCATCATTGTAAGTTTTGAGGGTACGTACAGGTTCCCCGATTGAGGTTCCATTTCTCTCTCCACTTTTTATGTATGAACCCTCTGTTCTGGAGACCCCATGTCCTGACTTACACACGGAGTACATGCAATCTTGGACATAGAAAGCTGTGTAGTAGTTGATGCCAATGAAATCCAACCCTTTCTTGAGTTTCTCTTGTTCGTTACTGGAAAATTTGGGTAAGAGGCTTCCAAGAATGTCCTCCATCTCTGTGGGGTACTTTCCAAATATAATTGGGTCCAAGAACCTGCATTATAATAAATTGTTTACAGTATGAGGTGCTCATCCCTACTTTACTGGGGGAGTAGTGTAAACAAATAGAACAAGCTATTAAAGGAGAATTATACCAATTGAAGGTGAATGACCTTGCTCTTTCGGTGGCCAATTTGTCAACAGTAGAATTGCTGATTGGTTCATACCATTCATGTTGAAGGACTATACCAATTCTTCCTCCTTGCTCAGTCTGATGTTTCATCCGCACACACAATATACAAAGTTTTACAATGATTCAAATATTTAATCTGATATCTTTTCGTGCTTTTATCAAATAACTGGGTTTTCAAAGTTATTTTTATAGGTGTTATCATAAGTTCTTTCTTCTCTCATAGGGTACTCACTTAAGTTATGATGCTGATGACTTTATCACATTACCTGATATTTGGTTCTATAGATATCAACTGCAGCTGCATGTGACAGGATAATGTTATGGGCTGCTACAAAGGGCTCCTTTTCCGAATCCCCTTCTCTGCAGTTTACCAATGCCAATGAGCCAGAGCAGCGGCATGGGGGAAATAGACCTGAACGGTAACCAAGTGGCACTATGCTGTTTGGCTCGTTGAAGGTGACCCAATACTTGACTCTATCACCAAAGGTTTTAAAACATAGGTCCGCATAAAATGCAAAATCTTCCCTGCTCATACAACATAAAAATATGATCTTTATGAGCTTGTATGGTCAACGTGTTATTGAAGCCTATTCAGGGAACTTAGAAAACTGGTTTCTTACTGTGATTGGGGACTTAGCCAACCCCTATATCTATCATCCAGTTCTTGAGGGTAGTCATAATGAGAAAGAGTCACGAAGGATTGGATCCCTGTAGAAAAAAGAAAACGCATGTTTTACACTCTTGGGCTTGACAGATTTTTACTCTCAATGAAAAAAAGGTAATGTTTGTTACACATGGTTTTCCCTCACTAACATCACGTGTTTATTAAGCAATTGTCAAAGTCAAACTGACCACTTAATCACACTGTTTAAAAATCCGGCCTGACCATCCACCCGGCCGAGGTCAGGGGTCATGCGGTCACGGGTTCAACTGGGGGGGGGGGGGGGGGGTCACGGGGTCACTATGCTGACCCAATTTTATATTAAAAAAATATATAAATATAAATATATTCTATATGAAAATATTAAAAAACAAACCAACAATCTACGTAGCATCGATACTGACACGGGACACGTGACACGATACGACACGACACTTTGACACGTTAATTCTAAAAAATTTAGATTTCGACACGTTAAGACACATTTTGATATTAAATAATATTTTTAATTTATGTAGAATATATTATATTTAATATTCAACAATTTAACAAAAAAATGAATCTAAACTTATAATATTCATAAATTTTGCAAAGAAACATAAGATATCCCCAATATTTATATTAAACTCAATAAAATGGTAATTGTAATCCAACGAATCTAATAAAAACTCAACGCAACGTAACCTTTGAACCCTTTTTGAATTTCTATAACGTGTGTTGGAGTGTCGGAGTGTCCGAGAGTGTCGGGAAGTGTCGGACACGACACGTCAAGGTTTTTGAAGTGTCGGTGCTTCATAGCCAACAATCATCAAAAATTCAAAATATACTTAACAAAATTCACAAATTACGATCACAAGTCAATATTACACAACCTAATTAAAATATCAAGATAGCAAAGTACAAAACTCATATTCTAATTGGATCACTACGCTGACCCCTCTTTTGAGAAGATCCCTGACAAAGGAAAATTTAAATGAAGTAAGAATGAGTTTTTGTTTTTCATCGACGATCGTAAGGTTTTCATTTGAATAGATAAAATTTTTACCTTTTCTAGAAGATTCACGGCAGCGAGGTGAAGATTGAAGACGTCTAGGCCGCAAGGTGTAAAGAACCACTTCAACCCAAAACCTTAAGGTGTTGAGTGAGGGCCTTTTTAATGATTTATATTATTCTCTAACACACCCCCTCACGCAAGAGCCATTTGGGCTTGAAGCGTGGATATTGCACAAGCCCAATTTTTTGTTTACCTTTTGTGCTTTTTATTTAATTCCACAAGTGGGGGGCGGTGAGGATCGAACTCGTGACCTTATTCACTCAAGCTCTGATACCATGTAAAGAACCACTTCAACCAAAAACCTTAAGGTGTTTTGTAAGGACCTTTTTAACGATTTATATTATTCTCTAACATTAGAAGAGAAGTCAACAAGGTGCGGCACAAGTGGCTAAGGAGTCGGTCCATACCCCAAAAGGGCGTGGGTTCGACTCCCTCTGACCGCTTTAAAGGCCCTTGTTGATGGGTAAACTGTAAAGCGGGTTTAGTTTGCCGCTGTCCCTGGCGTAAACCCTCATAGAGGTTGAACATGTCTGCCCTGGCCCTGGCGGGTTACACACAAGTGTCTCCCCTGCCAGAACGTTTCTTTATTAAAAAAAGAAGAAGAGAAGAGAACGATTAGATTTAGGTTTGCAAGCATTTTTATTTTATTTTTTAATAAAACAATTTTGTTTCGTGGAATTTATTTTAAAAAAAAAACATGCAGTGACCCCCTTTGACCCCTTTGACCCAGGAGTCACTGAAATTCGGCCGGGTTTTGGGGGTCGGAGGAGTCGATATGCATATAGGGTCCAACTTGTGACTCCAACCCTCAGAGGGGAAGGGTCAGGGTTGACCCGGGTCAACCCGGGGGGTGGGGTGGAGTTTTAAAACATTGTTAATCATATATTGTTAATCATTTTCCGAGGTTAGAAAGGATAATTAATTAATCATTTGCCAAACATATGTAATTGAAATAAATTTGTGATTAACTATAACTAATTAAATGATTAAATTAACTCGACAGTTAGTTTTATTTGCTTGCTCGTGAGGTCTGTAAGGAAAATCCTCCGGGTAACTATCATTACTCAATAGAAAATAAAAGAACTGAAAGTTACCTTTGAGTAGTAGAGCATCGATTAGGTTGTTATAGAAGCCGATACCAGCCCAGTTGACCTCACCAAATCTACCCTCTGTTCACAGTCATATACCAAGATTCCATGTTAAAATCTTAGTTGGAGCATTTTACTTATATTTTGATAATTCAGAGGACCATACTTGGAAGAATTCTTGCCCAAGATATAGAAAGCCGATGGATGTTCACTTTCAAATCTTCTATTAGATCTATATCCTCCTGTGTTTGGATCCACACATGATACAAGTTTCATGCAGAATGAATAAACATGATTATTTAGGAGTTACAATATGGTTTTGGGATTATTATGCTATTTGGGTATTATTATGTCATTTTTTGTAAGGATTTTTCTTACTTTTGGTTTTTTTTTTTTTTTTTTAGTTTAAGCATTTCATCTTTAATAAGATATGGATTTGATGATAATTATGTTAATTAGGATTTTGATATTTTTTTATTTTTATGAAATTTTATCTTTGATTGGACATCTATGATAAAGTTAAAATTATTTGATAATTATATAAAATTTTGATGATGTTCTTGGGGTTTTGAAGAGGAAAATGAAATGATTGGTCATTAAAGAAAATCAGGGTAAAGGATAATAAAATAATGATAAAATTATAAAATAGAAAAGAATTCCAAAAATTCTGCATATATCTTAAAAACTTTCTATGGAAGGCTTTTAGCTTTTCTCTTTTTTTTTTTTTTTTTTTCATAATAAAAATTTGGGATAAGATATTGTGACAATCAATTAGTGTTACTACCAATGTTACTACCAATTAATCTCACCGTTAGATCGATTATGTTAATCCAATGGTTATATTTATTTTCATCTTTGAATGGTTATGATTTTTTATATTTAATGTGAAAGTATTAAATATGGGAAATCATAATCATACAAAGGTAAAAATAAATATAAAATATTAAATATGGAGAATCATAAACAAACAAAGATGAAAATAAATATAATCGTTGGATTAACATAATCAATTTAACGGAGAGATTGAATGGTAGTAATATTGGTATTAGCATTAATTAGTTGTTACAATATTCTTCTCCTAATTTTTTTTATAAAATTATATTTCGCTGATCTTTTGTTTTTAAAGAGAAGAGAATTAAAAAATAACTGAATTTTTACTTATTCACAAAAGCCAAATAGATTGTGGCCGACTTACGTTTAAACAAAAAAGGGATGAGCATAAAGACTTTTAGTTAAAACTTTTTCTTTGTAGCATACCAAAAAAAAAAAAAAAAACTTTTTCTTTGTCATACAATATATACGAAAAATATGGAAGAAGGTTGTGGGTAAGATGTTTAGCATACTAAAATTATTTACTATATGGTAACATCTTAATCAAAAATTGAAAAAAAAGTTACTCTTCATTTTTTTAAAATGGCTGACCTACAGATGAATGGACAACACTAAAAAACAATTTTAACATTTTTGAGTCCTCACAAGTTATTTTATTAATTGAGCTAATCCCGATTAATTTATAATTTGAGTAAATATCATTTTTAGTCCTCAGCAAATTTTACGATGCTCGCTTTAGTTTCTAGCAAATAAAAAGGCTATTCATGGTCCTTAAGAAATTCAAAATGGATCCATTTAGTTGAAATTGTGGTCCTTCACAAGTTCAAAAAAGACCCATATTAGTCCCTCAAAAGTAGGGGTGTTCATCAACCGATCCAAACCGATTCAAACCGTGACCGAACCGAAAAATCGATAACCGAACAAACCGAAAATTGAAAAACCGAAAACCGAAAAAAAACCACAACTTTTAATTGGATTGAAACGATTTTCGGATTGCTTAATGAAAACCGATCCAATCCAAACCAATCCAATATATTAATTTCCCTCTACCTACTTAGGTCTTTCTCCAATCATAACCCAAAAATTTTTAAACTCAAGACTCATTAACCAATCAACTAAACCCAAGAAAAAACCTAGTCACATCATTTCATCTGCGTAGAGCTTCATATCTCATTGTCCCAAAAAAAAAACTATATTATCATTTACTGATGCTTTTGTATTTCAATTTTTTGTTACAAAGCCAATATATATACAAAAGATGTTATCTGCATCGAACAAATTTTGGGATTTTCAAAAAACCGAAAATCGATCCAATCCAAACCGAAAAAAATTGGATTGGATCAGATCGGATTTGAAAAAAAGTCCAAACCGAATGGATGATTACATGGTCAAACCGAAGGGATTGAATCAGATGATTTTTACTTCCAAAACTGATCCAATCCAGACCGCGAACACCCCTACTCTAAATAACTAAAATGAGTCCAATTTGAATTTCTTAGGGATCACAAATAATCTTTTTATTCGCTAGGGACTAAAGCGGGCATCATAAAATTTGCTGAGGACCGAAAAGAGTATTTACTCTTATAATTTTAAACAAGAATATATATTGCTAGCGCAATAATAACGACCATACAAATTGGTCCTGTAAATGTAAACTTGCAAAAACAATCATATGATTAAGGGTTACATTTTTCAGCAGTCAATCTAGATAAGTTATTTACATTGAACCAAAAATGATGTTTTTTTGGGACAGAAATCAAGGTATTTTTGTAGTTACAATTTATTTTAGAGTTATACTAATCTTTCTCATTATAATTTTTTAATTTTTCAACTCAAAGCGACGTTGTTTTGGGAATGAATGTAAAAAACTTATTTACATTCACTATAGAAACATTAAAGCCTATGATTAAATGGTTGTTTTGTTGTGATGTAAAAAAAAATTCTTGATTGAGCATAACAAAATTTTTCCCTATTAAAATATCATAAAAATATTTCTGCAGTTAATGCAAATAAGTTATCTGCATTTACTTCCAAAACGACGTCGTTTTGAGATTGAAAGATTAGAAAATTATAATTATAAAGACTATAATAACCCTGAAATAAATTAAAATTACAAAAATACCATGATTTTCGCTCCAAAACGACGTCATATTGGGCTTACTGCAGATAACTTATCTGCATTAATTGCAGAAAAAAAAACCCTTAATTAAAATATTTATCAATAATTTTGCACTTGTTTTTTGGTATACAACAATAAAGTTTATAGTTTAATAATTCAGAATAATATTTCTGCAGTTACTGCAGATAAATTATCTGCATTTATCCCAAAATGACATTTTTTTGGGATTGAAAAATTAAAAAATTATAATTATAAAGACTATAATAACTCTGAAATAAATTAAAATTATAAAAATACCATGATTTCTGTCCCAAAACGAAGTCGTATTAGGCTTACTGCAGATAACTTATCTGCATTAACCGCAGAAAAAACGAACCCTTAATAATTAGGGTTCAATTTTTCTGCGGTCAATGTAGATAAGTTATCTATATTGAGCCTAAAATGACGTTATTCTGGGCGAAAATTAAGATATTTTTGTAATAATACATTATTTAGGGTTATAATTGTCTTTTTTATTATAATTTTTTAATTTTTAACAAAAAATGACATCATTTTAAAAGTAAATGTAGATAATTTATCTACATTCACTGTAAAAATGTTAGAGTCTAATACTTAACAAGTCTACCAAAAAAAAATTAATAAAAATCTTTACCAACGACTTTGAATATGCACGCGGAGCGCATGGACCATACTTTACTGTTTAAATATTAGTGGCGATTATAAAAATAACTTTAAAGAGTAACGCGTAAGTTAAAACGAAGTTCTTAGTTACCAAAAAAAAAAAAAAAAAAACGAAGTTCATACTATATACCATGTAGCGATGATAATGGTCAACCGCAATATCCCCATTACTTCCGTCGAGTATTCTTCTTCTACCTGCATATAGTCATTAATGTAATTGAATTGCTTGTTAAGAAAGGACCCATTTTATTGTAAAAAAGATGAGCTGAAAAGATTCTTCTAATAAAAGAAGAAGAAGAAGATGAGTTGAAAGTGACACAGGGAACAAAGTTCCATTCATTCAGCAATGTACAACTTTGATTAAATTGCAATGAAATTTATTTGGACGGAGTAATTATCTGAAACATTTTTTAATTCTGTCACAGCTTACAACAGAGTTGTTAATATTATCACCTGGTCCGTGAGTGAAGTTATCCCAGTTACTTGGCCCTTTGCCATCACTCTTGTAAGCACCTTCATACTGTACGTTAACGATTGAAGAGGATACATAATAGTTAAAATATAAAATAGATTCAGTCATCTAACAAGATCCTTATCGATTAGCTGCACTGGATTTTCTTATTGGGTGTTGTTGATATATGTGGGAGTGAGTGAGTGTAAAGCAAGTGATGATTACACAAGAAGCACATAAAGCATCAAAATGAAGAGAGAGAATACATATATATGTGTGTATATATGCTGGGAGTGCTTGAAAGTAAACCTGGTAAGAAGAAGAAGCAGTCCCGAAGAGGAAGTTATTGGGGAATTGAGATAGATCCAACTCATTTGAGAGAGCTGCGAGCACAGGAAGCAACACTATCTCCACAACGAGAGTTTTCAGCAATAATGTGGAGAACCCCATTCTAGAGTTACTTTTGGCGGTGGAGGTCAATGATAGGTTTCTATCTTATATATGTGCAAGATTATCCACGAGATTAATATTTCTATCTAATATGGGACGATACGAAGAGAAGAAGAAGAAGAAAAAAATAGGTCTTGTATATTGTTATCTCTTTAGAAAATAATTTTATCTCGTATAACAATGAAAAACATTAATTTCATTGTTTATTTACTAGTCATGATATTTATTAATAAAAAACCTTACATTATTTCCTTATAATATAAAACAAAGAATATATATATATTTCAATTTACACTTCTTCCACATTTCTAGGTAGTTTGTGTAATGAATTAAGAAAATATTCTTTTAGCAGTCAGTGATAGGTTAATATCATATGACATATATCATGAAATTGTAATATAAATGAGACTAACGCTTTATTTATATTTTAAGTGAATGAGATGCATAAATAAATATGAAAAATAATTTTTTTTAAACAAGTAAATAAAAAATTATTACTTTTAAATATTTTATTCATTAAATTCTGATGTACGTTAAATTAAAAAAATATATATAATATTAAAAAATAAACATCTCGTATAAATAAATTTTTTTTTTCTATAAATATCAATTAACAATTGATAAAGAATATTAATACCCAAGCCAAAAAGAATAAGCGACGAAAAAAACTTTAAGAATATTAATATCCTAACAATTACAGAAATACTAAATCCCACAACTCTCTAACAAAGTATTACACTTGATAATTATCGTAAGTGGACAGAGTATAATCTGCTAACATTTGCATGTTAGCTGTGCCACTCGATCGGTAGAAAGAAACTACACCGAACAGAATGTAGATAAGAATGCAAAATCAACCGTGTAAATGATATCCGTACGTGTCTAATACTTGATTGCATGTGAATTCCCCAGATTATTGATTAATGATGTTAAAGAGATGGTTTCAGAAGGCCTTGAATTGTTTAATGATGTTAATGAGGTGGTTCCAAGCTTGGTATTTGCCTTGAATTGTTTGTTCCAGTTTCTCTTTTTCCCTGTCATGTTGTTGGGGCATAATGCTATCGGTTTTATGCTTTGCAATGAAATGTTTGTACCAACTTGCTGATAATTTTGGAGTTCTCTTGAGTGTGGCATTATCAACACGGTAAAGTCCAAATCTCACTGTAAACCCATATCTCCACTCAAAGTTGTCGAGCAAGGACCAGGCAAAGTAACCTCTCACATCTGCTCCTTCCCTGATCACATCACCAAGGCACAAATCCTCAGGTATATTTTACTTGTGTCCAAGGGTAAAAACAATGGGATGATTTATCTTTTTTATTTTTATTTTTTGTAAAAATATTTGTGTATTGATATATAGGTGGAAATATTTATTCTGATTTATATATATATATATATCCATACCTTATTGCTGCCATCAGGTTATCTAAATGTCCAGACAGGTAGTTTATTCTCTTAAAATCATTAAGATATTCTTCCTCGGTGTGATTTGGATCATATAAATTGCCATATCCTACAAAACGTTGGGTAGTCAGAAATGCTCAGAAACTCAATGTGAAAGGGGCTTAATGTGCTTTGCTTACCATTCTCGGTAATGAATATTGGAGTGTTATTGTATCTGTCTTTCAAATAGGTAACAGTTTTCGTTATTCCTTGTGGGTAAATATTGAGCCAATCAAATGGAGTCTACATAACAATAGAGGTTTCAGAACCGACCTGGTCATGCAGGGTTAAAATGTGAGGATCATCAAAATTCAGAAGATTGAAGTACTTACAAGCTCTCCTATTGGGACACCATTTTTTTGTGCAGTTTGTAGATATGAACCCTCTGTTGTGGTGATTCCAGGCCCAGATTCACACACTGATGATATGCAGTCTTTGGCATAGTAACTTGCATAGTGATTGATACCAATGAAATCCAGTCCTCTATTCAGTTTCATTTTGTCATTACTGGAAAATTTGGGTAAGATAGTTCCTAGAATCATCTCCATCTCTTTTGGGTACTCACCAAATATGATTGGATCCAAGAACCTGTATTTTTATAGTTAAATTTTTTATATACTTTTATAGTTGAATGAGCTATGAACAAAGAGGAAATTTTACCAGTTGACGCTGAATGATTGTGCTCTTTCAGTAGCCAATTTATCTGCTGTGGAATTGCTGTACGGCTCAAACCAGTCAGTGTGTATGACAATGCCAATTTTCCCTCCTTGCTCAGTCTACATGTGCCATTAATTAATAATACAGAAAGTTTATCATGTTTTGGAATCCGTACTACCTTCCACTTCGATTAGTAAAACTAGCATCATAATTTATTTTGATTGGCTTAAATGGAAATTCAACAGATTTGAGTCCGTAGCATACTAAATTTTTTGAAAGGGGTTACTGAGATCTTCGAACCAAACTACCTGGTATGTGTTTCTATAAATATCAACTGCAGCTGCGTGTGATAGGATAATATTATGGCCTGCCACAAAGGGTTCCCTCTCCGAATCTCCCTCTCTGCAATCTCCAAAGTTGCCAGAGCAACGACATGGAGGGAATTTACCTCCACGGTAACCAAGTGGGACTTGAAGATTTGGCTCATTAAAGGTTACCCAATACTTGACTCTGTCACCAAAGGATTTAAAACATATGTCCGCAAAGACTTTAAAATCTTCCCTGCATATATGTCAAAATATGTTTAGTACCATTAAGTCAAAATCAGAATCTCCTAGAAAAACAAATGAATTGGAGAACTAGTTGCTTACTGTGATTGGGGACTTAGCCAACCTCCATATCTGTCCTCAAGTTCTTGAGGGAAGTCAAAGTGGAACAATGTTACAAACGGTTGGATCCCTGAGAGTTGCACAATTGAGAACAAATGCAGGTCAAAGAAAACGAACCCTTATGCTGTTCTTTGCCTCACAAGTCATTGGAAAATTCAAATCATACCTTTGAGTAGCAACGCATCTATAAGTCTATTATAGTAGTTAATACCCGCCAAGTTGACTTCTGCAAATCTACCTTCTGTTCACAATCAGTGCAAATTCTGTTTGTGAATGACAGTGATCTACATGTTTCTTAATATCTTCTAAGTGATATCAATCAGATATTGTCAATGCAAGAAGCATACTTGGTAGAATTCTTGTCCATGAAATTGAAAACCGGTAGCTGTTGACTTTGAGATCTTCCATTAGATCTATATCCTCCTGTTTTAATTGCAAATTGAAATTTGGAATATCTTTTACTTTGCTTTTAAAACTAACAGAATCGAATGCTTTATTTCGTTTGGACTCTGAAAGAAGAATTAAAGCCGGTAAAAATATTTAATCATGCGGTGCATGAATCATGCGGTGTATAAAGTTATGAGAGATGATTTGTCGATGTACACGATATTTTTCTACACTAATTAAGTAATATATATTGGCTTTATTTGGTCAATATATCGATTGATTTGATGCGTTTAACATGGCCCCTGTAATGGGTGCAGAGGTGCAGACACTTAAGTTAGATGAAGTTACGAGAAATTTTAAAATAAAATTACACAATTTTCATTATCTATAACTTTTGGCTTATGGAATCAAATTCCCAGAGGGATACGGGGAGGGAAGAGATTGTTTCATTAACTTGGTTAGGTCCGTTGGGCTCTCAGGGGAGTTCAGGCCGAGGAGAGACCATTATTCATGTGATCAGTGACTAACAAAATTAAGTGAATTTAAACACTATAATTAAATCCAAAACCTTAAATTTACATTAGCTTCTTCTAAAAAAGAAGTTTCTTCGAATATTAACGAGGATTTTCACTTCTTCAAATCCGTCACCTTAAGTTAATTCATTATTGACTCTGATATCTTGGACAACAGTTTGAGGGAGCCCAATTAGGGGAGAAAGTATTATCCACATATCAAATAAGCCTAAATAACAAACTCACAACAAAAGGGTTCCAAACATTATATCTTAACCCAAAATTTTAAAACTTTAAGTTTATAGATTCTTTTACTTATATGAATTTTTTTTCCAATGTGAAACTTTTTATCGGTCACTTATAAATCTCCAACAACATTCTCTATGCAAAAAAACAAACAGAGACACATAGGCACCAAATTCTAAATTTTTTATGATTTACAATACCTAGACATATGTCATATGTGCGGGATTTTTTTTTATGATTCCGGTCCATCTCACTTTTTGTGGTCCGTTACTATTTTGAGTAAAAAATTATCTCATTTATACTTTTTTTTTTTTTAAATTTCCCCTTCATCCTTTTTTATTCTATATTTGGAAAGAAAGTTCTTGGGCCGGCCCACAACAAACAACCTCCATATGTGCCAGCATTTGCTATCTTGTGAACTCCGCCAAAAACAGAGAGCATCATTTGAATTGACATTTTCTTAAAATAATTTCAAACGAACTTGTCCTATTAGAATTAGCCATTTACGAGTAAAAGTACAACTCTCTCTTTTTTTTCTTTTTTCTTTTTTAAGTTCATTGACTGTGTTATGATATATTTGAGTTGAATTTCAAATAAATATATAATATTCAATTATTTAATTTAAACGAATTAATTATGAATTAACATGAACTCATGAATCTTATGTTATAACTTTTTGACCTAAGGGAAAAATAAATCTTATATTATAAGAGAATTATAATCTCATGTTATAGATATATCAAGTGTGGTGTGGGATCCACTTATTTAAAAAAAATAAAAAACAATAAAAATGAATGGCACACTCTTTTATAATGTGTGTAAAAAAAATTTATTTTCTTATCCAATATGAAAAAAACAAACTCCTTGTAATTAATCACTTAAATCCAACAATATCTACACATATAACTTTCTATATATAAGTAAATGGGAAAAGTGTGTATAATTTTGAAGGATGTAAAGTTGTGTCATTTTAAGAGAGAGAAAGAGATAGATAAAGGAGGAGAGAGAGTTGACAAAAAAAAATAAAGTTGTGGGTCCCACCTCTTTGTGAGAGTGAAAGGATGTAAGTTGTGTAATTTAAAAGTATAGACATTTTTCCCTAAGTAAATATGATTTACGAATACAATATATAGAACAGAACTTTGATATGTGTACCAGATACCGATGGTATTGATCAACCGTAACATCACCAGTACTTCCATCATCTGTACTACCTGTAGTATATTGACTTAATAAAGCTGAAGCTTGATCAGTATATAAAAGAAAGTAATTACATAAAATATAGCAAAGGGCTGAAAATATATAAAACTAAGGGGTCGTTTGGTACGCGACATTTTGTAGAATTTTCGGGAAACTGAATTTTTCTAAACTTTAGGTTTTTGAATATTATCGTAAACTGAAGGTAAAAATCATATTTTTGAAATTCGAGATTTCCGGACAAATAAAAATTTCTCTCGTACCAAGCGTCCTCTGAAATAAACAGAGGCTAAGCACTTTATGGTATTTTTACAGAGCAAGACATAGAGTTGTTGTTGATCTTATGACCTGGTGTGTGAGTGAAGACATCCCAGATGCTCATCCCTTTGCCATCACTCAAGTAAGCACCTTCGTACTACGAAGAATATTAAATAAGCCAAGGTTAGAATACGAAGACTTCAGTGATATCCTTGAGAGTTGCTAGCTCTTGCGTTTAATGCAGCATGCTCAGGGACTCACACAAGAGTAATCTGTAATCTTATTTTTTTATTAAATCAAACGGACCAGATTTAATTAATGGGACTGGTTAATATGGGAATTGTGATTGATGAACACACAAGAAGAAGCAACGACAAGCATCAAGGTGAAGGTAAACCTGGTATGAAGAAGAAGCAGTGCCGAAGAGAAAGTTGCTGGGAAAAGGAGAAGATTGATCAAACCTTTCTGAGATTGCTGTGATAGCATACGATGAGAACAAGAACAAGAACAAGAACAGGAGTATCTGTGTCTCCATAGACACGGCTTTCTGAAATGTAGAAAACCGCATTTGATTTTCTAACTACTCTTGGAAGTTTGTTCTCAATGTCAATGGGAGATTTATATTCGTTCACATATTATCTACTCAAGCTGACGTGGATGGAGGAACTACCCATTCTCCACCAACTCCTGGGATGGGAACACAAAAGACGTGCATAACAGGATTAAGTTTAATTTGCATAGTAATCTCCTATTATTTTGGGAAAATTATTATTTTTTCTTAAATGATGATTATTTTATTTAAAATTTAAAATAAAAAAAGTATTCACTTTCTTTTCATATGATTTCTATTGTGTATTTTTTTTTCTAATTGAAAAGGACATATTTTATATTTTTTAAAAGGATAAATATCATTTTTTTTTATTTTTTTATCTAAAATTTATGTGGTTAATACGAAATAAAAATGATTATTGATAAAAATAATTAAATAATAATATTAATAATACAACCAATAGTATATTAGGATCCATTATAGTTATTGATTATTGGGTTTCAGAATTATGCTGTCATTGCATCATTTTTTTCAGTGCAGCAAATATAAAAAAAAAAAAATGAGCCCCACCAATTTTATTTTTTTTAAAAGATCAGGATCCATATATATAAATTTTGATTTTTTATGTGTTGCCATAAATTTTTATTTTTTTTTCAATAAAAGCCTAAGTTATTATAGGTTAATAGGATGACATCACTGTGCTAATCCCGCAAATTCAGATAAGGATCAGGAAATTTAATAGGGCCCTACGGATGGAGGGGCCTAGTTTTATCCTAATCCCGTTCGGTAGGCAGATTGAAATCTCGCAGGTAGAGATTAATCCGTACGTACGCTGTCTTCTATCTGTTTTAATATCCCCTGCGCGCTATTGTTTGGGATAACCATTTGGAAGGCTTGGACTTGAGGAATGATATGATGCACGGTTGGGGCAGTTTGTTTAACAGGTATAATCTGGATGCTTTCGCTAGAGAGATTATGTTATCTGTGGATTCAGATAATAATAGTTTGCATAGGACTATTTTGATTGAGAAGTTTATTAGATGGATCCCCCTGATGATGATTGGATAAGGTAGTGTTTGGTTGAAGGTTTATTTTAAGATTGATGGGAAAGTGTAGCTGGATATTGGAAAATAACACGTTTGTTTCAGGTTTTTTTCAGAAATATCAGGCAAATAGGATAGATGAGAAAATGACTTTTGTGTTGATTTTTGGATGAAATTCACTGTTACAGAATACCATTTGAGATGTGGTATTTTGAGATGACTGGGGAAGTGAAAAACAGGTGCAAAGTTTCTTCCGAACATAGATTTTGCATATTTAAATAAATTTCCCTGGTAATATTTGGGTCAACCAAACAACTTTTTTTACATTTTCCTATCAAACTCATTTTCCAACCACTTTCCTATCAATTACATTTCCCTAATAAAAAAAAATTTCTCCCGAACCAAACACTACCTTAAAGATTAATATTGATGGGGCTTCTAAAAGTAATCCAGGTATGTTTGTTTGTGGGGGATTGATTAGAGGTTCGGATGAAAAATGGTTGGAAGCTTTTTCTTATAGAATAGACTACTGCACAACAATTATAGCTGAGCTGTGAGATATTCTGAAAGGATTGAAAATAGCTTGGGAAGGGGGTTGGAGGAAAATTATTTTGGAAAGTGACTCAGCATATGCTATCACTTTGCTCACCAAACTTAGTGATGAATCCTGTGAGTCTCATTTAGTGACCCGCATACGGGAATGGCTCTCAAAGGACTGAACTGTTAGGCTGCTTCACACTTACAAGGAAGGCACACTTACAAGGAAGGCAATTCTTGTGCTGACTGGCTTGCGAATCTTCCACTTCGTAAGCTAGATCAAGAAGATTTTATGATTTTTCATATTTCTCCTGATATTAGGTGGTTGTTTTTTGCTGATTTTAACTCTGTTGACAGAGCTAGACATTTTTTAATGTAATTTCTTTATTTTTGTTACGGGCTGTGCCCTTCACCAAAAAAAAAAAAATATTGCTATCAAACTTAATACATACGGAGCGGGAGAAGTTTCTTTTTTGGGTGTGGGCCATGATAGTTTCTTTCCACTGAATAAGTGGTAGGCTTTTAATATATTAAATTTTTCCACGAGAGAAAAGGCTCGAATGACAAGGATTTGAATTATTTGACACCAAGCCAATTAAAGAAATGTAATAATTGTTAAGACTTTAGAAGGTTGGATTATGGTGTAGTGGGGGCCGGTGGGTTGAGATTCTCCCTATACCCATGTCCTAATTTCTTTAACATTTATAATGGTGCAATTAAAGTTTTTTATTTTCATCGTGGACATCTTATCTTAATGACCATACATCAAAAGCGGTGTCGGTGCTTGATAATACTTTATGAAATCGAGTTACTCAACATGATTATTAAATTGTGGCATTTTTGGATGAATTTTTTTTCTTAAAAAGTTACTTTTTTTAGGAAAAAAATATTTCTCACTTTTATTTGGATGAGCTTTTTCCCCTTCAAAAGTTGTTTTTTCAGGAGAAAAAAGCACTTATCACTTTAATTTTATTTGGATATTTATTTAAAAAAAAAACAGAAGTCACAAAAAAGTCAAAAACCTTCCTTTCTTAAAAATTAAAAATTTTAGCTTCTAAAAGAAGCAAAAGAAGAAGAAGTCAAAAGTCAAATATTTTTTTTCAAAAATGAAATATTTATATAAAAATACAAATAGACTTAATTTTTGTAGAAAACACTTTTAAAATAAGGAATAGATAAAAGCTACTTTTTCTAAAAATCCAAACCAACGGGCTAGTTCGTTTGAATTAGGGGTGTTAGTGGGGTGGGTCGAGCCGAGCCGAGCTTTAGTCTTAAAATGCTAAGTCTGTGTTTAAATGTGTCAGCCTGACCTAGCCTTTTACCTGTTATGAATATAATTATCGGCTTGTGGCCTGTATTATTTACAAAAAATAAAAGTCTGGTTTAGTCTGTTAAAAAAAAGATAAGACAACAAAAATTTATCCAAACAGAATACATAATTAACAACATCAGTAATTCCATAAATATTCATAAATTCAATGTATACCCAAACAGCATAATATAGAACAAAATTATTCAAAAAATCTGTTTAACCAAAAAAATGGGGTGAAATGAATTGAGGAGAGAGAGAGCTATTACAAGTAGTATAAAAATTATAAAAAAAAATAAAAATTAATATACTAGGTCAGCCTGAGAGGCTCCAAATCCGAGCTTTTGAATTGGAGTATGAGACCTTTTTATTAAACTAGCTTTTATACAAGTCCAAGCCTGGTTTCAATAACCAATTTCAGTCATATAAGTTCAGGCCTTCACGAGCCGAGCCAAAGGCCCATGATTTGTTTACCACCCCTAGTTTGGATGTATGTTTTTTTAAAAAAGCAGAAGTCACAAAAAAGCTAAAAATATGCTTTTACTAAAAAATTTAACTTCTAAAAAAAGCAGAAGTCAAAAGCTAAATATTTTTTTTTCAAAAAATAAATATTTTTATAAAAACATAAATAACTTTATTTTTATAAAAATATTTTTAAAATAAAAAAATAAAAGTTGCTTTTTCTATAAATCTAAACAAACGGCGCTTTTAGTCAAGAAAACCATCGTATACTCTCGGGGGTGTTTGGTAGGTAGTTTGTTGTGAGATTGATGGGTAACTGAGAGTGGATATTTGATTACACCATGTTTGGTAGAAGTTTAGGAAAAAAAATGCTAGGCAACCATTTTTCCCATCCAATTAAGATTTGTGTGTAAAGTGATGTAAAAGTCACTGTTTGAAAAAACCACCTTGGAGGTGGTATTTGAAGATAACAAGGCAACTAAAAAATAGGGAACGATGATCAGACGGAAATGCCCCTTGGAAGATAGTATTTTGGAAAATTATCTATGAATCTTTGTGATCGAGATTTTCTACTGGAAGCCTCTTCAACAAGTTTTGACATTCTTGCCACCATTGTGTCATTTGCCAATATAATAACCCTCACTCATAATTGTGGATTTAATATTGAAGAATAATTAGAAGTAAAAGAAATAAAGTCATCTTTGGTGAAAAAGGAGTTAAAATGACAGTTAAGGGGTAAAAATACAGGTAAATAAAGTTATCCGAAAAGTGAAAGTAAAAATGGAAAAATGACTGGAAAAATATTCTAGTCTATTGGGTAAAGTTTGGTAATGAATGGAGGTGAGTAGATAGATGAGCTTATACCCGCTGATATAATGAACTAATATAAGTGTGACTTAAGGGAATTACTATTCCCATTCTTATTCCGTGTTTCCTTTCGACAGAGACAGAGAGCGAAGGAGAGAAAGAAAGGTTTTGAAACCAAATCTTCCAAGTCTCATAACTTGAGCTAGAAACCTCCAAATCACTCCGTTCCAAAGCCAAACTTGTGAGAAATTTTGAGAGAAATCCATTGGTACCAGTATTTTCGGGTGGGATTCACCGTAGAGAGATCTTCTCCCCAAATATTTCGAATTTCATGGAAAAGATGGATTTTGATGGAGCTTGAGGCCATGGGAGCTTAGAAACTCATCTCTCCTTTGTTCTAGAGTGCATTGTGGTAAGAAATTTCCTTCCTTTTCATGTTTTTATGAAGATTGAATTTAGGTTTTTATTTTGAAAATTTGGTTTGATTGAGCATGTTAGAGCTTGATTCAGGTTTAGCTCATGTTGAGAAAAGTGTTTAGATGAGAATTTTAACGGTGAAAATGTATTTGGAAAATTAAATATACCGTATTTTTGAATAGTGTCGTATACGTGAATAGTGACGTATACATGAATAGTACTGTAGAGATGAACAATACCGTATATATGAATTAATGAATCTTGGATTAGAGGTGCGTGATAAGCTTGAATTTGATGAACTAAAGCATTGAAATCATGAAGTTGTCATGATTTCCTTTATGTGCCTCTTAGCCATTCACAAAGGAAGTATGTCTTTAGAGTGCTTATTTGTGTTAATGAGTACTTATACGGTCTAAGGACTATATGATTAGATGTTTAAACCTTTGGTTGGGTGAGCTAAAAAGAAAAATGAATAAGTTCTTTCTTTGGGCCTTAAAGGTGTTTATGGCTATTTTCAAAGGAAGTATGTGCTATGAGTTATTGTTTTACAAAGTGAGCATACTTTTATGCGTGAAATAATATTCTAAGGTGTATGGACCTTCGCTTTGGTGAAATAAAAAAAGAAAATAAAATAACTCCTTTGTATGGCCTTAAAATGAGTTTTGGGCCATTTTCAAAGGAGGTATATGTTCGGAGATATTGTTTCGCAAAGTGAGAACACTTATATGCGTAAAATAATTTATATAGGTGACTAAGCTTGGGTTTAGGCACTAGACAAAGAGAAATCTTATAGTTCCTTTGTAATGGGCATTCTGCCTTAAATTGAGAAAAATAGGCTTTTAGGTGCTAAGAGGAGTAATGAGTGTTCTAAGGGCCTTTTGGGACTATCCTAAGACTAAGTGAATATGTAGAATTTTGTGGAGATTTTGTTGAACAAAGAACCACCCACTCATCACTTAATATGATTAAGTAAAAAGAAAATAAACAATAAAGTGTGTGTCTTGTATATTTACATAGCATTATATCTTTTTATTGAGTTTTGTGTTGAATTTCTTCTCTAGGTGTGCCTAGGGACTGTGGACGTTTGGATTCTCGTGGAGCAAGATAAGCAGCTTGTTCTTCAAGTAAGCAAATTGTAAAGCTTCAAGAGGTAAGCTCTATGTTTATGGGGTTCGCTCTTACTTTGTGTTCCGCCATAGTGTACGGACTGTGGTCAGGTTGTATGATATGTATGGGATATATGATATAGATGCATTCACATGGAACTATATGATGATGTGATGTGATATGTTTTGATGTGTTTATTTTGTTATGCTTTGATGTGTTTACATTGATATGTTTTGATGTGTTTACTTTGATAGGTTTTGATGTGATTTTTGTATTGATTCTATATGATGTCTGCATGGGGTCCTCCCTTGGGACTGACTGTGAATATATCTATTATATGTTGAGTTCCGCCTGGGGTCATCCCTTGGGAACATGTGCACTGATTCCTGCTTGGGGTCCTCCCTTGGGATTGACTGTGCATGCCTCTGTTATGTGATTATCTCTGGCCATTGATCCTATGTGCACTGATGTCTGCTTGGGGTAATCCCTCAAGACTGATAGTGTACATTTCTGATATGTTTTTGGTTCCGCTTGGGGTCCTCCCTTGAGAACATGTACGTTGATTTGTGCTTGGGGTCATCCCTTGGGAATGATACGTACATCTCTGATATGATATGCTTTGTTCTGATGTGATTATTGTGATGGTTTTTGTATATGATATTTGTTACGTGCATTGATTTCCGCTTGGGGTCATCTCTTGGGAATGACTGCGTACGTCTCTGATAAGATTTGTGTATATGCTTTGTTTAGTTATGATATTTGATTATATGATATGTTATACGAGATATGTTCAGTATAGTATGATATATGATGTTTTGTATATTATGTATCTGACTGTCATGCAGGAAGTGAGCCCAGGGTATGGAGAGTTCTCTATAAACCTGCAACTTACTAGAGATTCGTCTTTAACCCCGTTTGGGGATATGATTTCAGGAACACAATTAATTGAAGAGCCCTCATGGGACAAGGACACTACCCGTGGCTAGAAGTACTAGTATGAGGATATAGAGTTCTGGGTAACCAGAGGCTACTATTTATTATAGATGTTATTTTTGGAGAACATGTATTGTTGTATAGTGTTCTATTCATTTGGTGATCATGATGTCTGATCCTTTATTTTGTATATGGCTTGTATATGTTTTGTACATGTCTTTCAGTTGGATGCATGTACATTTGAGTATTCGGGCATGTTGATATGATGATGTAGTATTCAGTTTATGTTTATGTGTTGGATTGCATGCTGTTAGACATAGTGGCACGAAGCCAAGTTATCCATGCGTCCATGGATGGGTATATGATCATATATGGATATCTGGTATGTCTGAAAGTATATATTGTATAAATTGTCTATTAGGGTACCTTGAGAGTGAGATTTGCAAATCTCCAGTTGTCCGATTTACAGAGGTTACTCTGTCCGATTTTCGTCTCCGTCAAATAAGAATTAAATTAGAAGAAGTATGCAATGTGATATGTCATGTGAAAAGAATTAAAGAAAAAGAAAAAGTTAGCTCGTATTTTCGTAAGTTAAGTCTTTCGCTGTTTCTGTTTGTATCATATGTATATTAATTGAACCGGCTCGAGACGGGGATGTTACAGTCAACACTGTAGTTTTTACTCTTATATATCCTCGAATGATAAGTACCCAAAATCATTTTAGGAGTAGTATTATTTTAGGAGACAAAACAAAAGAGATGAAATCTAAAAGGGGTATTTTCGGATTTTCAATAATTTTTCCGTCAATATTTTTTTTTTTGGTAATCAATCCCATCAATATTTTAATTTCAACCAAACACAGACTTAGTAAATTTAAATAAATTTTTCTGATAATATTTCAGTCTACCAAACAACTTTTTTAAAACTTTCCCACTAAATTTACTTTCCTACTGTTTCCTCATTAATTATATTTCTCTGGTTAACATTTTTTTCTCCTCTACCAAACGACCCCTCGGGTCAGCCTCAACATTTAACAGTTCTGACGCATCATTCTTAATTAATGCAGTACATTTTTCTCAACCTCAAATTACAGTAAAGAAACAAAAAGTTCATCTATACTGAAAACTAGATCAAATCGTGATTAGAAATGCCACAACTTTTTTTTTTTTTTTGATAACAAATGCCACAACTTTGGCCTCAAAGAAAGCAGCTTGAAGTCCTATTGACACTTAAAAGTTAGAAGCTCCAGCCATGAGTCATCCCTCACTTGGTGTTATGCATAACAGCTTCTAAACTACTGTTTAGCCTGCTCAAATAATTAAAAGAAAGCTATCAGTTGTCGTGTCACAAATATTTATTCTACCTCTAATTGAGCATTAAATAGATTTTATTAATAAAGAACATACAATAATTGGCTTCACTTTGCTTGCGTAGATTGAATACCTTTAAAATTAGGGAAATATAAGAATCATGTTGCAGGAATGACACTGTTCATTCATGCAACATGATTCTTATATTTCCCTTAAAATTAACGTATAATAGGTTAAATAATGGTGATTGCGATTTTCCCCTATTGAGAGTTTGAAAATATTTTAATCATTGCTTTTAATTTGTCTCAAACAGATAGTATCTAGTATAAGCAAACAAAAATAGAGTAAATGGGAATGCACCTGTGAATAGAGAAAGGTGCCAAGAATTGCAATGGCGGCCCCTAGGGCATTGACAGGCTGAATTGGAGTGTGGAAGATAAGGATAGAAGACACAATTACCGAAATTCTCTTCATTGTGTTTCCTACGCTAAATGTTAAGGGAGAAATCTGATCAAGAGACATGTAAGAGACTTGATTGTACAAGTGGTAGAACACACTCTGTGCAGCTACCCACCTGTAAAAAATTAAAACCCAAAACATCATTAGTCAATAATTAAAGGATTTTATTTTTCTCATGTTGCATTGAGACAATTTGTTTCATGCAACATGAGAAAAATAAAATTCATAATTAATTAAATGAAGAATAGAGAGAGATAAATGATAGAATATAGGAAATAAATTAACAGTGTGATGGGATTTGCATATTGCTCCGTTTACCAGACAAAATTGGGACCAATATTAGACAGGGCAGTTTGCCAGCCAGCAGCCCACATCTTTGGGCCCTCAACAACAATGGAAAAAGGTGTGAGGATCAATAGAGACAATATGGAAAGGCAAGCATAATAGTTCATTCCACTAACAGACATCCCTTTCATTCCCTTCTTTGAGAATATATTCCTAAAGACAAATGCCAGATTTGATATCATAGCTCCCATAAATCCTGAAACATTAAGAGGTCGTCTATTCAGAGTATTGAACTCCCACAAAGATTGATGAACGAAATACAAATTCAACATCCAATTAATTCTGTCTACTAGAAGGGAACATAGTCAGCATCTGAATTTCAACCATGTTATTTGGTAATTATAGTCTTACCAATCATATTGAAATTGAGCTCCGTCACAGCAGCAAGTGCACAACCTCCAATAATAGGCATCAGTGACAGGTAAACCTGCATAGGGAATGCTTCCCCAAGCAAGAACCTGGATACCAGGACACTGAAAGCAGGCTCTCCACTCTTTATGATGTGAGTAAATGAAACTGCAACTTTGGACATACTCACAGTAGCTGCAACATGCCCAATTGTGTGTGCCACCGCAACCTGCAGACCCAAATTTGTAATTTCCTAATGAGTACTGAATCAAAGTTTTCTTACATCAAACTCTCTCTGACAATGTTTGATTCTGTTGAAAATATTTAATTGTGAGTAATAATGAAGTCCCACGTCAATTAAACATAAACCAATTGAGGATCATATAAGTGTAAAAGACTCGTAAACTTATAACCTTAAAGTTTTGGATTTAAATATGGTGTTGGTCAACTTTTTGTGATTTATAATTAATTATTAGCCTAATGTAGTGCAAATAGTACTCTTTGTGATTTATCATTAATTATTAGCCTCATGTAATGCAAATAGTAATGCAAATCCAAAATCATCCTTTTAAAGTTCTAATTCTAATCTTACCATGATTATAGTTAAGGTTTTATACTTCATGTTATATGAGATTAGCCTTCTTATCTCATAGAGATAAAAGTCATGTGAGACTCATGTGTGAGGTTATATGAGATGAGCCTTCTTATGTCATAGAAACAGAAGTCATGTGAGACTTATATGTGAGGTTTTATACATCTCATGTTACATGAGATGAATCTTCTTCTGTTATAGAGACAAAAGTTATGTGGGACCCATATATTAGAAAAAGTCATATATGAAACCCACCTATATCACAGGAATCGAAAGATGTATAGGAAAATTTCTGATCTCGTGTTAGATGAGAAGTATAAAACCCTTATAATTATCATGGTATGAAAGCAATAAAATAAAAAACGGGCCAAGATTTGCTTACAGGAAAGAGGGCCTTCCAAAAATCCAAATTAACTTTTGGGACGTCAGCAACCCTTGTGGCCCAAGAGATTAACATGATGAGAGAGCCAGCCGCGAGGGACAAAGTGGAAGTAAGCCATGGATAAGGAAAAGCATTCAAAACCTTCTTGTTGTATATGTTGAAGACCACATTCAAAGCCCACCATGTTGCAAAATACAAACCAATTTTGAGCTTTTGAGCAGCATCTGCCCCTGCCTGTTCCCCAGGAAGCTCAATGTTAATCTCTAGTGGCCGTGACTTATCTGCTTCGTAGGCCTGGCATTCTGTAACACCCCTTCTGAGATTTGTTGACAGTTTGAAATTCACAGTCGATGAAATGTAAATAGGTTTCAGGGAAGAGAGGGAGGACTCAGTGCTTTGTTGAACATTCTGAATAGTGGGTAACGTGCAATGTTGAGTCCTTGGAACAGGAAGTTTTATGGTGGAGGAAGCAATGCTGCTCAGTGGCGATGCTGTGTACTTGACAAAGGATATCATGATGTTTTTAGCTTATCTGAATTGTGCAAAACAAAAAAGAGTTGAATTTGTAGGTGTGAAGACAACAGAGTAATTAACAATGGGAGTATGTAATTAAATTGATAAGATTTATGTGATGTGTGTGTGAATGGAAGCAACACAATGTGGAGGAGTTTAACGATTATTGCGAGGAAGGAAAATATGGAAGAGTTGACAAGTTGAAGCAGTGGTGAGGGAAAAGAGGTTGGTAGAGAATGGAATAATGGATGGTGATTGGTGAGAAAATCGAAGAGAAGGAGAAAGGAAAGGATGAACGGTTCTTCCTAGGATACACTTATATAGAGGGACCGATTACGGAGGCTTGGTGACAAGCGACATTAACAACACATATGGGAGATATTTGTTTTCAATTGAAAAATACAATGAAAAGATAATTGTCAGCGTAAAACGATGTTATATAAAATAACTTCACGATGTAGATACAAAATATGCTAGGCCTATTTTTTTGATAAGTGTGTAGTAGGTATGTTTTTTTATATGTAATATGAGAAAAATATACCCCTTAATTATTAGGCTTTAATGTTTCTAAAGTGAATGTAGATAAGTTATCTACATTCACTTCTAAAACGACGTCGTTTTGAGTTGAAAAATTAAAAAATTATAATAAAAAATGTTATTATAATCCTGAAATAAATTATAATTACATAAATACCTTGATTTCTGCCTCAAAACGACGTCGTATTAGGCTCAATGTAGATAATTGACGGTAGAAAAAGTGAACCCTAATTATTATCACTTAAAAAACATAATGAAGAAATAATTGTTTTCATTTAAAGATTATTGTTTAGCACAAATCAGAATTAGATTTGCTGAAGATAAAAAGAACAGTTTTAAAATAAAAGATAAATATAAGATTAAAGATAAAAATAAGATTAAAGATAAAAATGAAGTTAAGATATGCCGGTAAACCCATCAACCTTAAAACTCTAAATTAAGGAAAATTTTAAAGAGAAGTGATAAGAATAAGGATGAGATAATTTATTATAATTCAATCAACTTAATATTTGATAAATTCAAACTCAAATTATATCCAAATTGTTAATTTCCAATAGACCAAATTTCTTGTTGTTCATATTTCGCTCACAAATTATTTTAAATTTTCTGCTGCATTTATATTGGATTTTGGTTGGAATTTATATACTAACTTATATATATTTTTTTAAAAATGTGGGCTTTCACTAAAAATAACGAAATTTGTCAACAAATTAAGGAATACGAAACTAAGACTGTTCTACAATCAGATTTAGATGAAAAATTGCGGTCCATTACCTATTTTGAAGTAATAATCTTGATTTTATTGAAAATGTCATAAACGATTATAAAAATTCATTTGATAACTCAATTTTAATGTCACATAATGATTTCGATAAGTTCAATAATTTTTTAAATATTTAAAGAATAAAATTGTCAAATTTTTAAATAAATTAAGCCAAGTATGATGTTTTCAAATCAAATCTATTTAAAAAAACAAAATGACGAGATAATTGTTATCATTAAAACGATGAAACGACAATGAGATAGTAACTTAAGTATTTTTTTTTCTTTAACTTAAAATGATGCAGTTTGGGGGTCTTTTATCTCGTGTAACAAATTCCCTTAAAAAAATAGAATCAAGAAATAACTGTTTACAAGCACAAATTAGAATTAGATTTGATGAAGATAAAAAAAAAAACAAAAAAAGTTTTGAAATAAAAGATAAACATAAGAATAAAGATAAAAATTAAGTTAAAAATATGCGGGCAAATTAACTTATCAACATTTGAACTCTATGTTAAGGAAAGTTTTCAAGAGAAATAATAAGAATAATGATGAAGATAAGTTTTCAAGAGAAATATTTGATAAATTCAAACTCAAATCATATTCCAAATCTTAATTCCCAATACATTAAATTTGTTGCTGTTCAAATTTCGCTCACAAATTGTTTTAAATTTGCTATTAGATTTATATTGAATTTTGATTGGAATTTATAGTAAATTATACCTTTTTGAAAAATGCGGGTTCTCACTTAGAATAACGAATTATGTCAAGGATTTAAGTAATACAAGACCAAGACCGTTCTACAATCGGATTTATATATGGAAAATCACGGTCCTTTACCTATTTTGAAGTAATAACCTTGATATTGCTAAAAATGCCATAAACGGTTGTAGAAATTTATTTAATAACTCAATTTTAAGGCCACACAATAATTTCAATAAGTTTAATAATTCTTTAAACAACCAAAAAATAAAATTCTCAAATTTCTAAATAAACTAAGCCAACTATGGCGTTTTAAAATCTTAAGTCCATTTTAAATTGAGTTAGAGAAGTCAATTCATGTACGGGATGACTTGCTAATTACGCTTTCATCTATGACATCTGACATCATAGAAGATTATAAATATGGTGTGGTTCAAGGATAAATCAAGTAGAAGTTGATGGGTATATAACATCTTAAGCGCTGATGAGGACAGAGAGTGATCGTCGATGCATAAGAGCAAAGATAAGCGACTCCTGATAGGCTTCTAGCGGCGAGGTATATGAATGAATCGAATCAACATCCGAAAGAGAGATTCCAGAGACTGTGCTGGTATGAGATGGTATAGTTAGAGATAACTTATAAGAATTAATTGGTACTATCTATACTAATAAAATATATCTAAAAATTTCATAATTAAACATGATTGACTTAACGTACTTCTAGGGTGAGTTTAATTTTTTTTCCAAAAAGCATGCAAGTAAAGCAATTTACAAAAAAAAAAAAGAACAAAAAAAAGAACAAAAGCTGAAAAATATCGTGTAAGTGTGATTGATACTTGGAAGTTGGAGCGCCCCGTGCGTTACTCGTACAGGCTAGCAGGGACAGAGAAACAGCGTAAAGTGATATATCGATTTTGCCTTGTTCGAAGCTAAAACCCCACCGAAATGGTCTCTGCTTCTATAATTAGAACAAGTACATCAATTATTCTGCTCGCTCCCGCGCATTCCTCACCGCAAATTCTAATGCAAGTGCTTAATGGGCCTCGAATTCTATGTATGAAACGATGCTGATTTCCAATATCTTTTCGCTGCATAATTTTTTCATGATACATTTCTCTTTAATTTTCTGAGATATATGGACGGATGGAGATTTTTTGGGATTCAAAGTTTATTGACGGCTAATATGAGGTACATCTGATTTCGGAGAACACTTTTTGTACAACTGTAGCATATACAACTGCGATTTAAAAAATTTTATCTGAATTTTTCTTTTATCTTTTTTTTAATCCGTACCCGGTACCTATAACACAAAAAACGAGGCACTTTTATTGAATCGTGGCACCCAATCAAACGGTGTGACAGTAATATTAAAAATATTTCGCTGATTTGGGTTTGGTCCAGTGTGGATTGAAAAGAACAAGGCTTTTTGTTTGCATTTGGGAAAGGGTGGGTGTGTACGGATATCATCAGTTTGGAAGCTAGCTAGCTGATATTGCATATTGGCAACTTGAATTTGGCCTTAGCTCTGACGGAATTCTATCCCTATCTTCAATGCCATTCTTAGTCATAAATCATAACTAATAAATTTCTTTTTTCCAATACATCGAGGAGTTCTGACCATGTCCATTGCTACATCGTTTTATTTTAATAGTTAATTTAATATCACTTTAAAATTATATTTAATTTTTTTTTCATGAATGAGATATTAAACTTATTGGTAATTTATTCCTTAAAATTTATCATCTTTATTTTTAAGGATATACCAAACTGATGCTATTTGTTTTTTTTTTTTTAAATTTCTCTACTGTTCATTGATTACTTGATTAATCCTTTTTTTTTTTGAAAGATTACTTGATTAATCCGCTTGCACTACTTGATTCACGTATTTAATGACAGTATTATTAAACCTGGACCAATCATTGATTTGTTCATAGTTTAATTGAATTTAAGTAAAGATATATAATAAATATATGTAATATAACAACTATAATGATGTGACTTAATGGTTATCATTTCACTTTCATTCTCTTAGGTGTTAAATTTCAACTCGGCGAGGGTGGTTCTTAATCGGGTTGCATCCAATGGCAAAGTCAAGAAATTTTGAGAAAAAAGAGAGGAAAACAAAATTCTATTCAACCAAATTTTTTAAATTTTCTTCGTACACAAAGAATAATAAAAATAAAAAGAGACAAATTTATATTACACTATTTTTCTTTAAGTCTTAATATAGTCTATAACAAAGATTTAACGAAATTGAGGGGAGCAATAGTCCCTTTTAACCCCACTTTGGTTTCGCCACTTGCTATTTATGTCTAAGTCTTGGTTGCAGGGTGAGCTGTTTCATAACTATCAATCTACATTACTTAACGAGAACATACATTAACTGAATTATTGTGGGCGAAACTCTAGCTTACCTGACAACCGACGAGCTGGTGAAGTTAGAATATGGACTTACGTACCTGAGTCCAAATTTGGGTTGGTAACCGCAAATGAATTTCATTGTTGGGTTGGGGTTGAGCCTTACTGTTATTATAATGATGTCGACAGTTTGGCTCGACTTTAATTTAAAAGTTAAAACATCGTGTAATGGACTAATGGGTTTCTTGGGCTCCAGATTTGGAGCGCATCTTAATGACAGCTGTAATAAAAAAATTGGGTGTGACTATATATTTCACACACAGATTTTATTATCACGTCTTAATCGTTGATTTCCGTAAATAAATGGTTATCATTTATTGTGAATTAATAATTAATTAATGAGTTTGATTTGAAAAATGATAACCGTTGATTAACGGAAATCAACGGTTAAGATGTAATAGTAACATTGACAGTAACATTATTTGATTGTTACAATATCCTATCACTTTACACTATATATTACGTAATGTAAATTATAAAAGTTATTTTTTCTTCTATCTGGCATGTTTCTATTCGTCCGATGGATAGTAGTATATTAGATTTTTCCCCAGATTTGACGGAAGCACCGTTCAGGTCCTTGTTTG